TTGAATTTACTTGGGTATCTTTGACTAATATTATAATTTGCTGATCTACATATGAAAAGTTTACAATAATAGCCATAGCTTCATTAATCATTAAGCATGATCATTAATCAAGTTCAACTTTAGTCACAAAAAGCCCAAATAAATGGCAGGATTTACACTGGATCATCTCTACATGAAGGTAGAGAAGGAAAGAAGATACGACGAACAAATAATCTAGAAATAAATATGAAATCTTTTTTACTTTGACCTTGTGAGAACCTATGGACTAAACACATCTTTTTTTTTTGACTATTTCATTTATTTTTCGGCTTCTGCAATTCCCTGAATGTTTCTACCCGTTTCTCATTTCCCAATCATCGCTATAGTCTTTTCCTTCTTTGACAGATTATCTGTGGTTTTTCTCTTCTCAGTATTTGGTACTTTTGTTGTCATTTGTATTCTCTGTGAAACTTCTTATAGGTTCTTGCTTTGTACTGTATGTGAGTCTGTGCTTGTGTGCCAGTGTTTCCAAATATGATTTCAAATATCCAGTTATTTAAGCTCCTGTTTTGTTGACAAAGCAGCTCTCCAGTCACTAACATTCGTGTATAATCAGTCTCGGCTGGCAGTTTTGTAGCATTACTCTAAAATTCTACACTTCCTACAAACTCAAATGCCATTAAAATACAGCTTCACTGAGATGAAAGCCATCTCCACAAATCAGATTAATGAGCACAGTCGTAGTTCTGAAAAAAAAAAAGCTGGAGGTTTGTTTCTTGCTCGCAGCTGTTTTCCTCCACCTGAGTTGACCACATTCCTAAAGGAGGAGCATTTCCAATGCCAGCACGTTTTACAGTTCATAATGGTTGTTATGGCCTCGTATTTGGGTGTATTTGAGTTTCTCCGACTTGTTAGTTTTGTTGATATTTGTAAAAAAATAAAATAAAATACATTGAATATATAGAGCACTTAGTAGCTGTGTGGTTAGTAAAATGTTCTTTTTGTAGTAGTTTAGAAGCTTAGTTAGAGACTCATTTGATCACATTTCCTGCTGCAGAAGTTCACGATTGATTATGGAACTTCTTTTGTTGATATTAACAGACTTCCTCACTGAGATTTGGTTCACACTGTGGAACAGGCCTTTCTAGAAAGAGTGGTCGAGTAACACAGGATGTTATGTCTAGATTTCTACTGGAGCTGCGACATGACACTTACCAGATCGACTCCTTGACAGAGTCATTCTGCTCAGAGGGCCCGAGCAGGCTCTTATTTCTAAGTGATGAATGACGCTTTAGGGAAAGGAAGCTGCAATATATCACCTAACTGACATACAAGCAAAATCAATAAAACCTTACTCAGTGGAGGTCACAGCTGCACTGACAAATTACACACAGTAATTTATATATACAGGTTAATGTGTGTGTGTGCATGTGTGTCTTTAAATGCATAATAATTAATGAATATGGAATACATTTTTAACACATGGGAACAAATGGATGCATGCCTGTTGTTCAATAGTAGCGTTCATATAAATATAAATATAAATACATAAATAAATATATCTATATATAGATATATAGATAGATAACTTTATAGATATATATGGAAGGAAGGTCAGCTGTTTTTTGACTTTTCTTGCTAACAGAGGCAAAAGATTACTGGAGGTAACAGGAGGACAACTCCAGACTGCTTCACTGTCACTAATGACAGGCTCATGTCGTGCAATTTTACAATGCCCAAAACATGCTGTAGCATGTTAAGGGGGAATAGTTTGTAAGCTGTCAGTGAAAGCATGCAGTAACATCTATTAATACCCACCTATGAGACCTTGCATACTAATTCCCACTGACTGCAAAGTCAAAGCGTTGGGCTTTAATCACAAGTGTCATTTACAGTCTTGTTAGCTCAGCTTAGTAACTGTTTTCTCACTCAGCTCCGGCATGTCACTGATTATGGTTTCATTAAAAAAAATAATAAGTGTAGCAGGCACCCCATCATGAACAATGAAATTGCTGTTGTGATGTTCATAATAAGCTATATTTCCATGGAGAAATGTGGGAGAATATGGGGACGGCAGTGGCAGACTGGCACCGAAGCAGAGTAAACATCGCTGCTGATGAGCTGAGAGGGTGCCATCAGTGGGGCTGCGATCAGCCTGTGTTTGTGTGTCATTGTGTGGGTGTTTTTCTGTGTTAACATTTGTAGAATCTACCTGTGTTATTGGCATCATATGTGGTATTGGACAGTCATCCCACTAGGATTACAAGAAGACAAGCAGGAGAAACTGCAGGTCACTGGGGTGGTGTAAAGTGGGGATTCGTCCTTTTTAGATATGCTGTGTTTATCCAGCTTTGGCTAAAGCACCTTCTGAAGTTTGTATAACACAGCAAGGTGTCCGTGTGTGCAGAGAGAAGATTAACAGGCGCATTTGCACAACAATACATTTCTTTGCCTTTTCTTTGATCTCAGATCACGGGGTGAGGGGAAATGCATTTGGAGCACTTCGACAGAAGTGACAGCTTTTGCTGTTTCCTCTGCTCAGGCAATGCATAAATATGGTGTTAAAATGATTCATGTTAATGTTCACTCACTGCCTTGATATGAAAGCTCTTTGGTCCTATTTTAGCAACCAGAGGAAACATGATAATTGGAGGAAAGGGTGCTGACTGGTCATGCCTGAATGAACTGCCTGACCAGGCTCACATAGTAGTAGTAAACCATTTGAAGAGCCTGTTTTAACCTTCTTTAACTTGCAGCATCTCTCATCCAAATATCTGCCACACATCTTGTCAAACCTCTGCAGCACTCACACAGTTTCATATAATACATGATGAGAGTACTCAAATCTGCCAGTGGATAACATCAGGCATTAGTTCAAGCAGACCACAAAGTCAAGCACAGCACCAATCTCAACAGGTGAGCTCATCTCAACACCAAGCCATTGGCCGGTGGGTCCATCCAATCCAAATCTCAGATAGGGCACAATATTTAAGCTGCTGCACCCTGCCCACAGTTGTTGCTGCCCATCTGCGATCCACTCTGAAACACAAATCCACCCCAGCTCCTCCTTTCATGTTTTTCTGACTTAATATCATTTAGTACTCTGTTTACTACTAGGTTTTTGCAGCTTTTAGTGATATTATTTTTCTGTTTAAATGCTGTTTCACTTAAGGTCCACATCTACTTCTCTAAGGGTGTGTTGTTTGGGTTTTGCCTTCTGTCTTCAGAAGAATAAACACAGTCTGATGCTAAAAGATTTTGGCACTAAAGGCTCTTTGAAATCAGCCTAAACTGGAAAATACAGATAATTTAGGGAGCCAGTCGGTAGCCCGGACTTCCAACAGTATGATTAGGATGTGAAAACTTCAGCAGAAAACAATAGTTGCTTCCATCAAACTTCTCCATAAGACAGACTTAAGTAATTAAAAGATATTCAACTAACTAATTAGTTTCCACCATTTAACTAACAAAAACTCCAAAGTTTCTGACCTACACATTTGAAGTGATATTCTTGATTTTTGCATTTATTAGTATTTTAAATTAGCCATTAAATCATAACTGTCATGGTCCTGGGCCGTGTTGGCCCAGTATTCTTAGTTCTCTTGTATTTTTGTATTCAGTTCCCTGTTTAGGTTCTGTTTCCTGAGTTTCCCTGTTATGTTGTTCCCTGTGTGCTTTCCCTTTGTGACTCTCACCCCCTGTGTGCCCCTCTATGTATTCATGAGCCCTTGTCCCCTTTCGTGTTTTATTCCATGTTTTCCCCAGCCTGTTATGTCTGTGTTCTCCCCGTGCTCTCTCCTCCTGTCTGAACCTCTGTACTTCCTGTTTGACTCTGCCCGTCTCCCGTCAGTGTTATGTTCACCCCGCCCTGTCTCGTTATGGTTATCTGTGTCAGCTGTGTTCCCCGTGTGTTCCCACTTTCCTCGTTAACCCTCTGTGTATTTCTGTCTGCGTCTCCCTCTGTTCGGCGTCGCGTTCTCCCTCATGTTGTGTGTTATTCTCCCCGTGGTTCCTGGTACATCTCATGTTTAGTTTTTCCAGTTTAGTTCAGTACTGTTTTGTGTTTCACCATTAAGCCAGCATTAAAACTGTGATCTGTAAGTTTATCCCCGTGTCTGTGAGTCTGCATCTTGGGTCCTTCTCCTGCCTGCCACACAACGAATCATGACAATAACTTCATGTTTGTTATTGTATTATTGAGTAAAATACCTATTCCTCTTTTTGCCAATTGTCATAAAACCTAAAAGCAGCCTGGTTTATAAAAATGTGACAGTAATAGGCTGTAGCAGTGCATTAAAACTGGTTAAATGTGTAAATGTGTAGTGTCTGCCAGGCAGATGTTTCTTCCAAATGTTCCCCAGTAAAGAGAACATTAATGAAAAGGTGTTTTTGCTGCATGAGAGACAATGACCACTTTTAAATAAAAATCACAGCAAAGTGCTGAAAAGAAGAAAATGAGCTACTGAATATTCAGCAGTATAAGAGAGAAGACTTTGACTCCACATGACTGAATTAGAAACCTCAGGAGTAAAATTTCCTTGAATGCTGGTAATAACTCTATTTTGAATTCTGTGTGACCCTCTGGCTTAACTCTCTTAATCTGTCGCATTTCAGATAACAAAATAAAAAATAAATCAAGTCCACATTTGGCTACTTAAGTTGATGACTGAACAGGCTCTTTCATTTATAGAATTGAGGCTGGCTTTTAGACAAGCTGGAATCAATAGCTCAGCAAGGGCACTTGTCCAAAATGCACCACATGCAGTCAGTCTTCTGTGGTTTAATAAACAGCCAAATGAGGCCGTAGGTTCTGTTTACATTAGGCTTTTGAGTCAGCTCTTCTTTTTTGTTGTCCCACAGGCGGTTTGTCTGAGTGCCGTCACTTGACTTACTTTGAAAGCTTTAATCATTTTCACTGAATACACACAAATTTCACAAACCTCCCAAATTTGTTGTTGATGGGAAAATAATTAGCTAGGCTTGTTGACTTGAATAGCTGCTTGCCAGAGAGACTCACTCACATCTTTTTGAAGTCAAACACAGTGTATTCTGGCCAGTCGATGTAACACACCACACGGCCAGGGACCTCAGCCGTGTTGGAATAGTAGTACTGAGGAAAAGCCAGGAGCAGAGCCAGAACCCAGATCACACCCACCACCACCTTGGTCTCTGTGGAGGACATGCGCTGCTGCAGAGGGTGGATGATGGCCATGTACCTGCAGGGACACAAATGCTTCATGGTTTACATGAAAGAAGAATATAGGACAGAATAAAGAGCTTTACAGATAGAAGATTTTTTTTTTTTTTAGCATGGGATCACAAGTTATTTAAGTCCTTGACGTGGGCAAAGAGTAAAAACACTCACAGAAATAGAGTTTCTTGAGAGTAACTTGAACATGACCTCTGGGATGTGAATATTCACACGTACTTGCCCACTCAGCACCAGTAAAAACATGACCTTTTTTCTTTCATATTTACAGGTTGAAAATCACATGACGTTTTCATTTGTTCAAAAATTATTTAGACTTTGAAGATGATTTTTTTCTGCACGGGATCGTGAAACTATGCTCCCTAGAGAGTAGGGCTGCTACGATTAGTGGTCTAGTCACGATTACGTCGACAATCAAAATCATTGACGACTCATTTTATAGTCGACGCGTCGATTGAAGCTTTGTAAGATCACAAAAGACGCATGAATAAGTAGTAGGATTTAAGAGTGTAATAACGGACTGAAACAGAAGATGGCAGCACTGCACGTACAAGGATGCCAGCTGCCGTTAAACCCCGAAGAAGAAGAAGTAGCTCTGTCCCAGAATTCATAGCGCAGCCCAGCTCAGTTTCCAATAATGGCGGCAGCTGGTTAGTTTTAATGTTACTCTTATTATTCTTTCTGGTTCACAAAATAAAGTTTAACATATTTTCAAGCAAGAATGTAGCTGTGTAAACCTCAAATATCTGCTCAGTTTATCAAGACACCACATATTTTCAAAAGCGCTCCAACATCTGTTACCCACTAGCTCGATAGCTAGCCGGGGGCAAAGCTCACTAGAGCCGGTGAGAACCCCGGACTCCGGGCAAATCGTTTTCAAACCCACCGCTGTCTTTCGCTACTCAGGTTAAACATATATAAGTCACTTAGATAACTTAAAAATTTTATTGTTTGGCTTTTTTTTAGTATTTTATTTATTCCTGAGTAAATCTGTTTGGCTGAGATTAAAGTTATAGTTTTTACACAGCTAAATAAACGTCAAGCAGACAACTGATTATCAGAAGTGTGAGATGCTGGAGAATATACTCCGGTGTCCTGTTATATTTTAGATAGCAAGGAGTTTATTAAACTTCACCGAAACAATCTGCAAATTTCATTAAAATTTAATAAAATGGTAAATGGCCTGTATTTATATAGCGCTTTACTAGTCCCTAAGGACCCCAAAACGCTTTACATATCCAGCCATATCCAGTCATCTACCCATTCACACACAGGTGATGGCAAGCTACATTGTAGCCACCTTGGGGCGCACTGACAGAGGCACCGGGCCCTCTGACCACCACCAGTAGGCAACGGGTGAAGTGTCTTGCCCAAGGACACAACAACGAGACTGTCCAAGCCGGGGGTCGAACCGGCAACCTTCCGATTACAAGGCGAACTCCCAACTCTTGAGCCACGATTGCCCCTCAACTAAACTATCATCTTGCCTTTATTTTTAGTTAGCACATACCTTAAACACTTAAAGCTGTAAGCTAATGATAGTTATATAAGAGCAGATGCATGCTGGTGCAATAAGCTGTACGTTTTACGTCCAATGGATGCATGATCTGATTAGTCGACTAATCGCAAAAATAATCGTTGACTAGTCGACTATCAAAATAATCGTTTGTGGCAGCACTACTAGAGAGACACTGGAATTACAACATAAAAGTGTTTCATAAAATGTGTGAAGGATTCCCATCAGGCTCCCTCGACGTTTCCGTAGTGATTTCACACTGCCATGTTCATGCTCCTCATCAGAGACGAAGAGGTGCAGGAATCACTTAAAATGACCTTGCACATCATTGACACTGAGCTTCATTACAAAGTCCATCTAAAGTCATTTTTCTGTTGGATCTCATTTCTCCTCATTGAAAATACAATACTTCAGGGAGAGAAAGAAATAATTATCAACTCCCCATCAGTTCTTATTTTAAACCTCTGTATAGATTTTTGACTTACATTTATTAGAGATTTGGTTGTATTGACTGAGTTGCACTTTAATTCATGTTTTTCCTGCTAGCTCCATAATCTTGAAGGTATGCTTATCTGGTGAAGTGTTTTCTTTATGGAAGTCATTTCTCAAGGATTTTCAGTTTCAATTACTAAATTCCCACACTATGTGAAAAGCCTATAATGTTGATATTTTTGTTGTACACAGTATACTGTTACTAATTTTCGTCTCTTTTCAGAAAAGCTCTCCAGCCAAATGCCATCCTGAGCCAAAGAGGTCTAATTAAAGGCTTAATCCCACTAATAACCCAAATGAATCTGCTAAATGGATATTCTCACTCTAATTATATCAAGCACAAGAGCAGGCTTTTAAAATCAAATGCTCCCTGCAGTCCACTGAAAGCGGGAGATCAGTACCTCGGCTTTACCTTAGCTCTACTTCAAAAGGCTCTGGCAGCCATGTGGCTTTTCCTTCATGTAGGTGAGTCATATTTAAGCTGGTGATGTCAGATTCAAACACACACCTGCAGAGAACAGTGGTCCGCTTGCCCAAAAGCCCAAATCACCATTATTATCCCTACTGGCATGCAAACTGGACACCAAACTACACTTGCCTTCACCCTCCGCATGTTCTCGAGTTCTTCTCTCGGCCCTTGGTTTTTCTTGAGCTTTTCATGTTCCTTCCTCCTGATGTTGCCCCAATTCAGTATAGCTACATTTATTACTACAACCATCTTCCTCTGCTTGTCTACCACTATCATTTCTGGTTGGTAAGCCATCACCAGTGGGTCTTACTGTATTTGGAAGTCCCACAGGATCTTAGCTTGGTCACTCTCAACCACCCTAGGGGGAGTGTGTCTCATATTGACCTTGGGACTTAGGCCACACTCCGTACAGATGTTCTTGTACACTATGTCAGCCACTTGGTTATGGCGTTCCATGTATGCTTTGCCTGCTAGCATCTTGCACCCTGCTTTTATGTGCTGTATTGTCTCAGGGGCATCTTCACACAGCCTGCACCTGGGGCCTGGTTCTGTTAGATTAATCTTCTCCTGCAGTTACAAAAAATAAATAAATAAAAAACACATTCAGACACAGACACACTTCTTTACCTGAAAGTAATTTCATTTTCATGGATTTTCTGGTAGAGATCTTAGCACCCCTGTGTTTCCCTCCCCTTCATTCATATCTTGGTAAACACACCCTTGAGACTTTGTACTTCAAACATCTGTCTGTAGGCAATATCTGATTCCTCTCAATAGGATTCCCTCTCACAAGGTAGCAGGTAGCTTGGGCAGTAAATACTGGATGTCATGTCTGACATACACCTCCAGTTATCCACAAATTGAACCTAAAACTGCAATGGCAATGCAGTGGTTCAATATAAACACCATGAACCTGCTGCAGAGTTTTCCTGTAATGTAAGTGATTAAGAATGAGACAGTAAAGGTGATTGATTAATTATTTATTTTATTTTTTTCAGAAATTGTATTTGAATGTAGGCGGTGGTAATTGTATTGTTAATCTATTTCTTGTGGTCCTTCATCTTTTTTTGGTTTACTATTTCTTTTTGCAGCAAATTACGTAAATTTCCATCTGTAGCTGGAAGCTGGATGATGGTAGCAAAGCTTGTGTGTGTTTCTGTATGTGAGAGTTCATTGTGTTTGTGAGATGTAATTTGAAGTATTGCATCTGTTGTTGCCATTATAGACTCTTTGCATACCTGTAAATCCTTCAGCCACCACTCACTCATGCAAAACCAATAGGAGCAGTCCACAGGGACTTCCCTGAATAGAAACCAGTTACCATCCCAGCAGCAGACATCCAAGAAAGTGTCTCAAGTATGATGAGTTGGACAGCACCATTCACACTTACTGGCTAAAGAAACGAACTGCACTCAATGAGCACGACAGCACAAATGAACCAGCTGCTACTGGATGAGATGCGAAATCGCAGAAATGGCAAATGAGGATTGATGAGGATTTCAGGGACGTGGCAACACTAAAGGCCAACTTCAAACCAATTACGCAAGTCACCATTAACCTCCTAAGACCCGAACTCTTCCACGACATGCATTTTACCTTATTTTTGTTTTTATGAAAAATCAGAGCCACATATGAAGGTATTCATTTAAATTTTGATAGAACAGTAGCAGTATAATGTCCTCGTAAGTAGATATCAGGCCCTTGTAGAGCAAAATTGAGTATTTTGGTCTAAATAACGCACAATGTGATGTCCACATATGTGGACGCCAGGTCCTAGAAGGTTAAGTGTTGGATTTACCAAGGAGATGCCCTGTCCCATATATTGCTATGCATAGGCACGAATCCCCTCAAAATGGAGAAAAATTAGCCTCCTCATCTACATAGATGACATCTAGTTGTGACCCAGTTTGTGTAATTCTGGTTTAAGTTATATTCTTTGATTTATTGTTTGTCATGGGTTTGGTTCTTTTTATTGTTTTCTGCTTGTGTCATATTTATAGTTCCTAGTTCACTGTCCCTTCCCTGTGTTTTACATTTACAGGGAGTGCAGAATTATTAGGCAAATGAGTATTTTGTCCACATCATCCTCTTCATGCATGTTGTCTTACTCCAAGCTGTATAGGCTCGAAACAATCAAGCGTTTCATTCAAAATAGTCAACAGGGTCACAAGAAGCGTGTGGAAAAACCATGAACTGAGAAAAGTCAAGCGTGCACCTGCCAAGATGCCACTTGCCACCAGTTTGCCCATATTTCAGAGCTGCAACATCACTGGAGTGCCCAAAAGCACAAGATGTGCAATACTCAGAGACATGGCCAAGGTAAGAATGGCTGAAAAACGACCACCACTGAACAAGACACACAAGCTGAAACGTCAAGACTGGGCCAAGAAATATCTCAAGACTGGTTTTTCTAAGGTTTTATGGACTGATGACATGAGAGTGAGTCTTGATGGGCCAGATGGATGGGCCCGTGGCTGGATTGGTAAAGGGCAGAGAGCTCCAGTCCAACTCAGACGCCAGCAAGGTGGAG